TTTTGTTAAAAACGCTTCCCAAAAAATATGCACTAAGGGTAGATGAAGTTTTTCTGAGTCTGAACAATCGAGACACTCTTAAAATTTTACTGCCAGAATTAATTCGATTGTTGGCACTGACTTACACTTCTACCCAAAAAGAGATTTGGGATTAGTTAGATGCTTTATACTAGCACCAAAGAGGTCAGTATAAAAAAGCTCAGACAGGAAAATTAGATGAAGACAATCAACGTATTCATGCTAATAATAAGATGAATGAAGTATGAAAGTTTTATTTATTATCATTATATAAAATAGCCAGATTTTGGATTAATATTCATAACTTACTGGATTTAGCTATTGAGCTAAGTCTGATAAGTTATAAATATTGAAATCCGAAATCTGATTTTTTTTTATATTATATTTATTTATTATTTATATTACAGAAAAAAGCATAAAGAATTAAAAGTGCACAATCTTTATATGAACAAAAGGCAAAATATATTAAAAAATATGAAAAAAAAGGGTTGTTACATTTAATGTTGTTAGTCGAAATTATTTAGACATTTAGACATTTAGGCAAATTGAATTTAGACAATTTCGACTTTGCCATTTTTTAAAAAATTACTATTAAAAAATAAATTTAGACATTTAGACATTTAGACAATTTAATTTAGACAAATTTTGATATTAGTAAAAACAATTTTGACTAACAACATTAGTTACATTTATTTTCAAGAACTGAAATCTATTCACCTAAACAAAGCAAGACCAATCTAGAGGACAGCAAAAAAAGAAATGCTAATATATATGATTATACATGGTGTTCAGATGAGGTTTGTCGATTTTTGATCAAATTAATGCTGAATTTTGTGACTTCTGATTTTTTTTTCTTATGCTATTATGAGATTAACAATCATTTGTAACTGTCGAGTATAGTACTAACCTATATATAATTAGTAAATACTATAATGAAAAATCAGAATTCATAAAATTCTAAATGTTCGAGTAAAAATTTAACAATTTTATACTAATGATTTTATTAATACTAACAATTTTATTAATACTAATGTTTTATTAATTTATTAATATTAACGATTTTATTAATTTATTAATACTGCCAATTTTATATTACTACTAATTTTATTAATACTGATGTTTTATTAATTATTTAATATTAACGATTTTATTAATTTATTAATACTGCCAGTTTTATATTACTATCAATTTTATTAATTTTAACAATTTTATTAATTTTAACGATTTTATTAACTTTAACAATTTTATTAATTTTAACGATTTTATTAATTGCTGATTTTATATTACTAACAATTTTTTTAATATGTACTAATGATTTTTTTAATTTATTAATACTGTAATTTATTAATATTAATGATTTTAATAACATTAATTTATTTAAATTAACAATTTTATAGTTAAGAAGCTTATTAAGAAAAATGTTAGACGAGAATACAAAAAAGATCTCAACTACACAACAAACAAGAAAATGATTTTATGATGATATTGAGTTCTTTTATGATGCACCTAGGCCAGACAACCTGTCAGATTAGACCTATATATCTGATGAAGAAGAAGTTGCAAAAGAACGAATAAAAGAATAAAAAGATAAGGGTAAGAGAAAGAAAAAAGTAAAAAAACGGAAAAAAGAAAAGAACTAGAAGTTGCTCCTGGGACTGAAAGACCAACAAAAAACTTTGAATTCAAAGTAGAGACTATGACAAAGTGGTTTTGTATTCAAGAAAGAAAGAGCTCAAAACTGGCGAAAATGCAAAGATGAGTAAAATTCGTGGTGCTTTAGCAGGCACTATACAATATAACTCAACCGAAGAAAATACAGATAAAGAGTCTCAGAAAGAGGCACCTAAGTGAAAGATTGTTTTTTTGGAGTGGGTGGGTGGGATTTTTTAAGAAAATCGGTTTTTTGAAAAAAATTTTTTTTTT